ACTGTCCCTCTCCAACACCCTGCCCCAAAACTCACTCACTGTCCCTCCCTATCTCCCTGCCTCAAAACTCACTCACTGTCTCACTCTCACATACCCTACTTCAAAACTCAACCACTGTCCCTCCCTCACACACCCTGCCCCAAAACTCACTCACTGTCTCTCCCTCACACACCCTGCCTCAAAACCCAATCACTGTCCCCCCCTCACACACCCTGCCTCAAAACTCAATCACTCTCCCTTTCTCATTCACTGGTTCCCACTCAACTACTTTCCCTTCCTCCTAATCTGGTACAGTCCCACCCTCAGATTTTGGCTCCAACTCAATTGTTGTCGCTCACTGCCTCCAATTCAATCACTCTCCATTCTTCCTTCCAGCTCAATCAGCATCCCTCCCTGCTTCTGCCTCAGTCTCTGCCCCTATGTGCCTATGACTGAATCATGATTTTCAGGATGGAATAATTAGTGGAATGCCACAGGGATCACTGTTGGAGCCTTGATTATTTACAATATATATTAATAACTTGGCTGACATAAGTGAATCTGCTAGCCCCAAGTTTGTAAATTACACAATTAGTAAGCAAGTAGTGAGGATGAGACAATCAGTCAGTTGGGGAATATAAACAGGTTAAGTGGCAAAACTTAGCAAATGGGATATGTGAGGAAATGTGAGGTTATGCACTTTGGAATGAAGAGAAGAGCTGAATAGTATTTAAATGGGGAATGACTGCAAAATATTGCAGATGGATTTGGTGATTCTTGTGCAGGAAACACAAAAAGTTTGCGTACAATTTCATTGGGTAACAGAGAAGTCAAACGGAATGTTGGCCTTTATTTCAAAATGAATGGAGTATGAAGGTAATGAAGTTTTGCTAAAACTATACATGGCACTACTCAGACCACAACTGGAAGATGACAAACAGTTTTGGTCCCCTTATCTAAGGAAAGATATATGAGCATTGTAGGAAGTCCAGTAAATGTTACCATAAGACATAGGAGCAGAAAATGGGCCGTTCGGCCCATCGAGTCTGCTCTGCCATTCAGTCACGGCTGATAAGTTCCTCAACCCCATTTTCTCGCTTTCTCCCCGTCACCCTTGATAATCAAGACAATCTCTGTCTTAAATGTACTCAATGACCTGGCCTCCACAGCCTTCTGTGGCAGTGAATTCCATGGATTCACCACTCTCTGGCTGAAATGTTCACTTGGTTGATTCCAGATCTGGGGGACATTTTCCTCTGAGGTGAGGTTAAGTAGTTTGGACCTGTACTCATTGGCATTTTCAAGAATGATAGGATACCTTATTGAAACATAGTATACAATAGCAATTTATTGTCACTTGCATTCGTAAGAAAATACAGTGAGATGTGTACAAGCCGCCACAATTCCGTGCGATTTTAATTACAGAAATCATAAAAAGAAATAATTGAGAAAGTTAGGACAAAGTTGATCTTTTGTTCCCTCCATGGCTCTGAGGTTTCTGCAGTGGCTACTGGATGCCGCCGCCGAAACCGTTCCGAGGCTGCCAAAACACGGCTTTTCCGGATCGGACCCACAAGCTGCCACTTCGGAAACTAACACCGAAGCCAAGGAAGGACAGACCGGACCCACTAAGTCGCCGACGCTGATGCCCTTGCTCAAACTGTCGCCACTTCAGTCGTCTCCCGAAGCCGCCATAACCATGAAAAACAAACTGGAACCACCATGCTGCTACCGCTACAGCCACCACCACTGCACCGCCACCAGGAGGAATGGACCAGACCCACCAAAAGATGAACCCTTCGATACAGCCGCAGCCACTATGGTCATGAAGAGTGGATATTCTGGATCAATCATACTGCCCCACCGCCGCTGCAGGCCCACGCTACTGCAGCCACAGGAAAGAAGATGAACTTTAATACTAAAGAGAAATAAAAAAAAACAAAACAATACGAAAGACCAAAGGAAAATGCGGCTGGCCAGGGGAGCGAGAGCAAATGGGTACAGAGCCCTGGACAATTCCTACCCTGCCGCTGCCATCATCTTCGAACATTCTTAGTGGGCTTGGTTCCCCTTGTGGGAGAGACCAGGACCAAGGGGTTTAATCTGAGAGTAAGGGGTTGCCTATTGAAAACAGAAAGGAGGAAATTTTCTCTACAAGGACAGTCAATCTATGGAATAAAAACCAAAAGAACTGCGGATGCTGTAAATCAGGAACAAAAACAAAGTTGCTGGAAAAGCTGAGCAGGTCTGGCAACATCTGTGGAGGAGAAAACAAGAGTTAACGTTTTAGGTCCGGTGACCCTTCCTCAGAAGTGATGCCGCCAGATCTGCTGAGCTTTTCCAGCAACTTTGTTGTTGTTATTGTTGTAGTAGTAGTCAATCTATGGTATTGTTTACCACAGAGGGCTTGTGGTATATTCAAGACTGAGATAAATGGATTTTTAATCAATGTGGGAATCAAAGGTTAAGGGGATAAGGCAGGAAAATGGAATTGAAGATTATCCGATCAGCCACAATCTCATTCAAAAGCAGAACAGATTTGTTGGCTGAATAGATAACACAGTGTGGAGCTGGAGGAACAGCAGGCCAGAGAGCATCAGATGAGCAGGAAAGCTGACATTTCAGGTCGGGACCCTTCTTCGGAAATTGGGGAGGGGGAAGGGAGCTCTGAAATAAATAAAGAAGGGGGTTTGGGCTGGGGAAGGTAGGTGGAATGGTGATAGGTGAATGCAGATAGGCAGTGGTGGGGATTGGTCATTGAGGTGGGAGGAGCAGATAGGTGGGAGAGAAGATGGACAGTTTGTGTCAGGTCAAGGAGGCGAGATGAGAGGGAGAATTGGTCATGGGATGAGGCCGGGGGTGGGGAGATTTTGAAACTAGTAAAGTCCACATTTGAGACGATTGAGTTGTAGGTGGAATATGAGGTGATGCTCTCTGGCCTGCTATGTTCCTCCAGCTCCACACTGTGTTATCTCTGCCTCCAGCATCGGCAGTTCTTACTATCCCTGAATAGTCTACTTTTGCTCTTGCACGTTAAGTTTTTTTGTCTAATCACCGTCCCACTCATCCTGCCGCTGACTCAGTCACTCCATCTGTCTCTAACTCACCCTTCCTTCCTTCTAATTTAATCATATTATCTCTCATTATCTTTACTCACAATCACTCTATCCTTCCCTCCGTGTTTCTGAATCATTATCCTTCCTTCGATCACTGCAAACAACTCAAACATCTATCCTTCATTCCCTCTAAATAGATAAGTCTATCCCTCACTGCATCCACATCTGTCAATCATTGTATCTTCAACCTCTCTATCCCTACCTCACTACCTTTACCCCAATGACTGAATCCCTCTCTGCCTCTGATTCAAACACTCTATGTCCTCACGTATCACCCCATTAACCTCCAGATTCAATGCATCATTCTCCGCCACCTGCAATCTGACCCTACGACCAAGAATATATTTCCCTCCCCACCATGATCTGCCTTCCGAGGGACCACTTTCTCCACAACTCCCTCATCCATTCCACACTCCCCACTCGCCCCACCACCCCGGCACTTTTCCTTGCAACCACAGGAGGTGCTCCACCTCCCCCACACCCTCCCCCCTCACCTCCATCCCAGGCCCCAAGAAAACCTTCCACATTAAACAGATATTCACCTGCACATCCACTAATGTGGTATATTGTATCCACTGTTCCCGATGTGGCCTCCTCTACATTGGGGAAACCAAGCAGAGGCTTGGAGACCGCTTTGTGGAACACCTATGCGCGGTTCCCAGCTGCGAACCATTTCAACTCCCCCTCCCACTCCTTGGACGACATGTCCATCCTGGGCCTTCTCCAGTGCCACAATGATGCCACTCGAAGGCTGGAGGAACAGCACCTCCTATTCCGCTTGGGAACCCTGCAGCCCAATGGTCTCAATGTGGACTTTACAGGCTTCAAAATCTCCCCGCCTCCGACCTCATCCCAAGACCAGCCCATCTCATCCCTGCCTCCTTGACCTGTCCATCTTTTCTCCCGCTTATCCGCTCCTCCTACCTCACTGACCAACCCCCACCCCCACTTCCTACCTACTCGCCTCATCCCCACCTCCTTGCCCTTCCGTCCTCACTGACTAACCCCCATCCCAACTCCCTACCTACACTCATCTTTACTGGCTTCATCCCCGCCTTCCTTGACCTATCCGTCTTCTCTCCACCTATCTGCTCCCTATCCGCCTTCTATCATCGCCTCCCCCTCAATTTATTTCAGACCCCCATTCCCCTCCCCCATTTCTGAAGAAGGATCCAGACCTGAAACGTCAGACTTCCTGCTCCTCTGATGCTGCCTGGCCTGCTGTGTTCATCCAGCTCTACACCTTGTTATCTCAGACTCCAGCATGGGCAGTTCCTACTAACTCTATGTCAACCCTCCCTCTCATCCCCGCCTCCTTGACCTGACACAACCTGTCCATCTTCTCTCCCACCTATCTGCTCCTCCCACCTCACTGACCACTATAACTCATGCACTCCATCCTTCCTTCCCTCCCTCTAGGTCAATCACTTTATCCCTCACTTCCTGTACCACAATTACACTTGCCCACCTTCCCGGACTCCAACATAA